TTATGGCGTAGGCGTAGATATCCGTTCTCTAATCAAAGGACGAAGTGTACTGTGCAGCAGGTTCGCTCCGTTCTACTTTATGGCTGTGAAACATGGCCAATGAGAGTAGAAGATGTTCGTAGGTTACTGGTTTTCGATCATAGGTGTCTTCGAAGCATTGCTCGTATACCGTGGGACAACCGAGTGAGCAATGCTGTCGTTAGGAAACGAGTACTAGGTAAGGATGGCAGATCAATAGATGAAGTGGTGAAACTTCATCAGTTGAGGTGGTTGGGACATGTGTTGCGTATGTCTAACCACCGACTGCCTCGAAGAGCTTTGTTTTGTAGTGTAGGAGTAGGTTGGAAGAAAGTTAGGGGCGGCCAAACCAAAACATGGCAGAAATCCATGAAGTCATTGACTAGTGGACTGAGCTATGTCGGTAATTGTCGACTACCTGGTTGGGGTCCGCGAGATGATAATAATCGATGGTTAGAGACCTTGAATGACATGGCTCAAAATCGTTCGCAGTGGCGCCGGTGCATTTATTCTTTGTGTTCTCTCAAACCCTAATCTTTTGGATTCTTCAACACCTCTAGTTTCGATTCTCTAAACTTTTCTCACTGAATCATACTTCTTGAATAGTATCTTCTAAACCTAACCCCTCCGATTACTTCTAATTCCCTTACTACCTCTACTACTATTGGATTTGAATTGACAATTATATCTCTGTGCTGATATGGTATGGCAACATGAACTGATGTACTTATGTACAAAGTTCTACGTTGCATCTGACTGACTGACTGATCAATAAAAGTAACCATTCTAGACGACAATTCATTATACGAGCTCCTTAATTTAAAAAGTTCACTCACAAACGAAAACCACTACAATAGATTCTGCTTGCAGATCAAAGAATACATATTAAACATGGTTCAAGTAACCAGGTGTGTATTCTAAGGTCGGGTAGTGAGAGTAACAGTCAAATCAACACAAATCCGTTTCTAAAATATGCTCCACATAAGAGCTCATAGTAATAGAAGCGCAATGTCCTAGCCTTAATCAGTAAACCAAAATGTTCACATTTTATTGTATCTAAGTTATTTTAGCTGGATGCTGAATCATCCCCTACTATAAACTGATTCGTAATACTCTGGTGTATAGTGAGAAACTTTAAACATAGACGGTTATTGATAGACAAACGGATAGATTTAAAAGTCGCTAACCTGTGGTCCAAAAATTACTATATCTAGAGGGGTGAAAGCTGGACTAGCAGACCCCTTAGCGATTGAATATTTCTTGCTTCCCGCGGAAGTGCCTGAAGACTGATCCGTATTCAGAGCTAAATCATAACGCTTTGACTTTGACGCCTTTGTGCTCTTCTTAGTTGGGATATCACTATCAAGGGGCACAGGAAAATCTACATCTTTCAGTAATCTTTCATTAGGTTGACGCAATTCGCCATTGATCAATAACTGTGTTTCGGTAACCAAGGATTGAAGGTAAGGTTCGATGGCAGCCTGAAAATTTAACAGAGAAATTTTACCACTCAAAATCAATAATGAAAGACTATTTTAATTGAACTTGTTTTACGAACACAAAAAGTGGGAAAAGACTAGTTGCATTAAGCTAAGTTTACATTTTATTAATTCATTGACATAGCGTTTTTAGTGAGTCAGCAAACAAGTGTATTTTTGCACATCTGAATTTTGCTTGAATTTAGCGTAAACGACTGGTAAAGCACCAATATTGAAGTCTAATAATCATATATTGACATTGAGTTGTGTTTATTTTAGAGAAAAAACAATGGAGATTAGTTTCCCAGATGCCCTGGTACTGTTGAGAGTGGGGACAGTCCACTTTCCCTCTTCCAATGCTCTTATATGACTACGCACATATAGTCAGTCAGGAAATTCCTAATCACTGTTTTATCGTAGTGCGGTGTTCGATTTATTAGTCTGTTAAATGCAAGAGTATGAAAAGCGAGGGATCGACAACAATGACAACCATAGTGGTGAAAAACTAAAACCAGCTGCTCACTGATCTCTAGCAAAACATTTATCGTAGATTGTTGTAGGCTGAATCAAATATTTGAGGCTCTAAAGCTAGTCATTTGTCTTACTTATTAATTCAAACATGTAAACATTTGTACAAAGAGGCACCAACATTTATATGCACCACACGAATCATTAGATTTGTGTGGGCTAGGATATCGTCTGGGTGTTCATTCTGAAGTAGGAATTTGTTTCTTACCGTTTATGGTACAAAACTATGGGATGCATAATTACCCGTATAAAGACCATACAGAATGGTGCTGCGGAAATATTGACAGTGGCCAAGCAAATGACTTTCGAGCTTATTAGATTGAATAAGTAAAAGTTAAGTATGTGAACAAGTTAACGAATGGTGATAAAACAAAAGCAAATTTCAAACGCAAGTCGAAATACGAGCGTGGGTATACGCAAACCTAAAAGAATTGTCAATACCTGAAGTTGGTGCAAGATTTTCTCTTTTTTCCGGTCGGACGGTAAGTGAGTCTCCAAAGACAGAAGTATTTGAGTCTTGAATGATACCCATCGATCGACGATTGGGCGAATCTTCACTTCTACTGTTCGTAACTGACTCTACCAAATAAAAGAGTATCATATAACACATACACTAGATCCGTCTGCAGCAGAAGCTCTGCATTGAAACCTTAGGGAAAAATCATAAGTTGTAAACTAACATACTTCTTTGTTTTGGGGTCAGCTACCAGCACCAATTTTTCCGTGTTTTTTGCACAGATATACTTGCTTATAAGCACATCATCACGTGATATATAAGAAAGAATCTGACTGTTAGTTAAAGGTATGTTACTTTCTGAATGTGATTAATATGACCGTTAAATTCACCGTGAGAGATTGTCAGACAGATTCCACTTATATGAACACCTCCAGGAATCATTCGTGCAAGATTCCTACAGTGTGATGCAATCCACTTTTCATTTAAATCTTCAATCTTATGGGAAAGATGAAGTGAATCGCCTAGAGTTTCATCTTTTGGAATGTCAATAGGTAGGAACAAACACTCCTGGGATCCAAGTCGCTACAAAATGCAGAGAGGGAAAGACAAACTCACTCCACCTATTATCACTCCACAATGGAACTGATCTACAGCAAGCAGGCGATCGGCAAAACTACTATCAAACAAAACCTCAGTAATCATTCTTAGTGTCTCACAAAACTTTAAATGGCGGGTTGCGGTCCAAAATTACAGATCCAATAGCCAATATCTTTTGCACGTTCTAATGTAAACCGGTTGATCTTTCGATTTCTTCGAGGGGTGTGGTGCTGATGCTTCAGTAAGATTCTGACGTTGAGATGATTTGGAGAGTTTAATATGTTGTGCCCCATTATCGGATCAACTCTGATCTTCCTGTAACTCAGAGAGAATAATCTCAAGTACTGGATTCTGTTTTCGTAAGCTGTATTCTTTAACCCTATCACCTATTTCGTTACTCATCTCCGCACTCGATTCAAAAGATATCTGTCTCTTTTAGGGACGTTGTGAACTTCATGGTGCGGTCATCCGTTTGTTTTGAAGAGAGTTATGAATAATTTTGAGGTAATAGCACCATGTTGTCTTCCATAAAGCGGAGAGTTGCGTTAACTTTGGCTGCGTCCGCTTAGTAGTTCGAACTCTGTCTCTAGACTTCCAGCTGTCATGGGACCGAGATCGCACTCTGAAGAGACATTAGGTAACGGACATCCGTCGATGGTGTAAGTCGTTTGCACCACGTTTTGCAGAAAGTTCATAACGTAACATTTCAACTTCTTTAATTTTGGCCGATTATCCAATGCCCGTTCCCCAATTGATGTAAGTCGATGAATTTCAATATTGTGTTTACTGATTCAGTTGTACCAAATATTTCAAAGTGGTTTTTAATAGAATCAAAGACACCTGAAACACAATCTTCCCTGCCTGGTAATAATAAACCAATAGTCTCGTAATGTACGAATCAGTGTAAAGACGGTCGAAAATAACTTAAATTTTAGACAATTTTGGTTACTATTTGTTGATTTTGAATAACCTGATTCAATTTATTCAAACACGGGATTGACTATAGTATTTGATTTAATTGCTTACCACTATCCCTACTAACTATCTGCATGTCATGCTGACTATCATTCACAAGAGAATGTGTCCGCAAATATACTTAGTTGACTCTGTTGGCTTCCATTCTATTGATAATAACTATTATTCATTCTCGAATAACAACAAGGCACAAGAGGCGTGTCAATTTACAGGAGAGATCAAAATTCTAAAACTTCAAACATATTTTCTGTAAAAGATTGTTCAGTGACGTAAATATTTCACGAGATGTATCAACAGCTTATAGGTGGCTAAAATTTTTAACATAAAATTATAGGCAATGCTTCAATCTCTGCAATATACAGCGCGATAGTTGGCGCAAGTTACGACGTTTTCTTTACGACGAACCAGTGGTGGTTTAGAACATACGCAGTGCAAATCCATGTCTTCATATAACGGGAATTGATGGGGTAAGTGCACAAATATCTTGTTGAGATTCTTCGGATAATACATTTACAAGCTCCTAGGTAAAGTAACATGGTTTTCAACAACCATCAAGGCTAATATTTAAGGAGTACGAAGAGGTGCTGAAAAAGAGGAAGAGAAAGAATGGGACGAGGAGCAAAACAGAAAACATTCTTGTTTCAAGTTGAGTCATGATTTAGCAAATAATATTTATGGATAAGAAAAAGGCATGATTATTCAGACCTTTCCTTTTCTGCTTTCGATGGGATTTCATGGTAGGAAGTGAAACTAGTTCAAGACTACAAACATGATTATTAAACGTCGTTCACTTCGAAAAGTAACATCAGTATCATTGATTAGTTATACCCTGCTATATCTTAAGAAGTCGTAGGCAAACAAACTATTCTGCCTCACAGACATGGGTAGATTGAGTTTATCGCCCCACTGTCATGAATGCTGTTCAGATACACCGCTCTCCTTCCTTTTGTGACGTTAGGTTCTCTGACATCTAGAAGCAGATTTTAAAGAATAATTTATTTTAGTCTGAGCTCTATTTTTTGTACACCTAGTAGGAATAAAGTTCCTCTGCGTTTCAAGTAAGCCAGATAACTTTGGCATCATAACCTGAAACAAATATCCACGTAGCGTATCACTTTGCCATCAAGTTAACCAATGGCATAAATTGGAAGATATGGGTAAGTTAATGGGTAGTCTGGAGATAGAAAAGATAGGCAGCTGGTGAAAAAATGAGGAAAATAGTGTTAAAAATTCATGAGTAAGGCAATAAATAGGTAAGAAAACGAGGCTTTTGGATGGTAACGAATTGGGGAAATAAAAGTTTATTGAACTTTTAATCCAGGAAAACTGAGTTCCTTGTAATCAACTGTAGTTGAGCAGCATCTACCGGCTTTTAAATCTACCTGTCTACTTTCCTGGTTTAATTTCAGTGTTCTTTCAACATCACGAAATCACCAGCAAATATATTGTTTACCGTGAATTAATTTACCTTCTCAGTGACGGGTTCGTAGTTAGTATTTAATGGTGATCATAGTCGGTCTCGACTCGATCGCCCCTAAAAAACCACAATCAGTAAATTTAAAAACGTGTCGTCCTGCTTTTACTTGTGTTAACGTCCACATTTCATGGAAAGTAGATCAATATATGACTAAATTCATGATTACCTAGCTGGCTCCTTTTGGTAACTCGACTGACTGGCATCCTGGAGGTTCGGATTTTCTTCTTTATGTAGTGATTATCAATGCCTAGTGATGGGTGTCCGGCAAAATACTTCGTTGGAGTGACCTGGACTAGACATTATGTTGCGAAGAGTTATTACTACTTCAGCAGGTTATTTACCACTGAAGTTATTGTCATAGTTATTTCCATAAGTAATTGTAGTTATGCTATAACTAACCAATCAAATTGTAGTTTAAGCGTTCACCACGCGATCTGGTCTGACGTGCCCGTAAACCATCTTTGTTGTAAATGACCTACAAATTAAAGGACATTATTATCTTATTATACTGATGTGACTTAGTTTTATTCATTTCCATAAGACACGTTTTATTGGTCGGTATGTTTGCTCGTTTCACTTGGTAACTGTAATTTGCATATTTATCATACTAATCTAATTGTTTTTATGTTTATAAACAGATAAGGTTTAAAACCAAATTGGTCTTGTTTTGACTATAGCTTTCCCACAGACTCTGTGCTCGCCAGTCTTGCGTTTTCAGTTCTAGGAGTACATCTGTAGGACAAATTAAATCCTACAGTCATATTATACGGTCAGACCACCTTGAATAAACTCACTACCATTACTATCGCAGTTATATAACTCAACGGAAATAATGCCAATTGACAAAATGTGCCTACATAGGTACTTCCTATAGTCCTGAAACTCATTTGTTTACACATCTGTGCACTTGTCTTAAGAGGCTCGCATCTTTTTAAAGTAAAGCTAGACGCAGCAATGGTATAAGTTAAAAGACGTGACTGGGGGTAGAATAAAAATATCTCTGAATTTAATGTACCTGATAGTCATTTAAACATATTGAGAACTTCCCTGCATCTCTCTTTTCCTTTTTCATGGTTTAAGAGTTCTTTAATCACAAAGTACCATATCACAGTGAAACAGAATTGGATATTTCTGTGGTTTATTTTCAAATTTATGTGTTATGACCTCTGTTTCCAGGGGACTTTGTCAACTAATATTGTGAATAGTACTAAACTTATTCTGTATTTACTTTTAATGTTTTTATCTGACTTGCACTTGCTTCTTTACAGTTACGACTTAGTTCATTTCCAGTTTACATTCTTCTTTATTAAAGACCTTGTGAATCTCTAAACATGTCAAGGCCTTCAGTAAGTTCACGTCATCTGAACCACGGTTTCCTTAGTTGTCAAAGTATAGGGAACGATTCGGCGCCTTATATAGCTGCATGTAAAACTCTCAGCTTCAAAGTTTCCCATCTTACAAACGCTCCTTTGACTTTGGTACTGGACAGTAGGAGGTTTTTTAACGAATAAAAGAATGGATCCTGTTTACAATTTCCTTTTTTAGTAAGATAGTATGCAACACTGTACTGAATGACCAAGCATGATCAAGAAACGTACCTGTAACAACTTGAATATCTTACTTCTCATATCACGCATATTTTTTATTACCAGCCCAAATGTTCTAGAGAGTGTTATACAGGCTGTCACTATAGGGCAAGTCATTACAAACAATGATGTGACGTCCATGCAAGATCGTAAAGATTATGCTGTCTTTGATTGTGAAATGGGTCTACTGTTATTCTATACGTGCACTTCCAGGTCAGAGATTGTATCAAATGCTTTCCAACAGACTCTTCCAAACACATTTACTCCTTAATAAAGCAAGTCACCCAAGAACTCTATTTTGTACCTTTCCTATTTGTACTTACTGAAAATGTGGCTGAACCAAACTGTTCCTGGAAGTGACCTGGTGTAAATATTCTGTCAGAAACAGACTCTTATTTCTAACTCAACTTCACTAACTTTTACCTCAAATGTGGTAGCATTTGTAACAATTTGATCTAGCCTGTGAAAGGGTATGACTCTTGACCATCGCGTTCGTAAGGTGCACTTCACGTAGAAGCACCATCTATATGCTTTCAGCAAAATGGTTATGAGAGGAAATATATTCACCGAAAAGCGCCCTCACAAAGCAATATGGGTTTCACTGGAATACACCACTTGGAACCAAATTGATCACACCTTTATCCATGAAAGGTCCTGAACAACCATAGAGGATCTATGGATAGAGAGATGAGCCGACGTAAATTCAGATAACCATTTCGTTGGTGGTGGCGACGTTGAAGCTGAAACGAAGAAAGTATTGGAAAAGTGGGCGAATACCGTTGCAAAAGTTCATCGAGGTCCTTCTTGAGGATACTGAAGAACTTGAGGAATTCAAGCTAGCTCTCAACAGTAAGTTCCAAGCTTTCCAAAATCTACTCAATGAAGAGGAAACTACATTGAAGAAAGACTAAAGGGATCAAAGGAGCAATAACTTTAGCATATCCTGAGGTTCTAGACAACAAGAAACGCCATCACTAAGAATGGATCTCTGTTTATACTATGGAAAGGATTCGAAAAAGCATGAATAGGAACGCAGCTTTCAGTAGCAAATGGATAAGAGCTCAAAAAGCCAAGGCATAGGCAGGATATACATAAGCATACAGCTAAGTGAAGTGAAGCATCACGGCTGACAAAATAGAGAACATATGTTGTGGGGCAGAACATTTTGCTTGCTTTCGACTCCTTAGATTGATGAGACGACTAATCAGTAACACTGAGGTTGCTCTTGTACGCTTGCTACTTCTGAGGTCCATGTTTCCAAAACTATGCTGGGGTCGCTATTCTGTCGAGACACTAGCAACATTCTTACTCAGGCGCTTACAGTATGACTTAGAGGTTGGCATTCAATAATAATAATAATAATAGTAATAAAAAACAGTTAGACAGTGAAAACTTTTAATCAACATTGTTTTCTTTTTACAGACTCTACTCTTTCGATTTCAACGTACATAAATCCAGCTTCTTACTTCGACTTCTCTTCTATCCACCTGACACTGCACAACTCTTCCTTCTTTTTTGCTGTACTCCTTTATCTGTGGTTTATATTCTTATATTCTCATAATTTACTTTAATTTAAGTGGTCAGTATGAATTTTATCTTGACTTACTACTGTATTGACTACTTCAACATGACAGGTTAAGTAGTGCTTTGGTTATATATATATATACAATTGCCACACTGCTGCCTTTTTCTTTCTCTCTTCTCCTTTTCAGAACCCCATTCACGGTGGGAAATCCTTGGCGACTCTACGGAACATGCACCCCTTGTACATGACTGTCTGGATCACAGCTCGTATCAAGCGCGTTCCATTTGACTTTTCCCGACAAATTCACTATTGATCTCAGCAAATCGCCAAAAGGACCTATTGTGTACCTTCCTTATTTGTACTCTACTATTGAAAATGTGGCTGCATTATACTGTTTCTGTCAGTGACATGGTGTAATTATGCAATCAGAAACTGACTCTTACACTTAATTTAAATGCTATAACTTTTAAAGTAAATTTGAAAGCATTTGTGACAATTTGATCTAGCCTGTAAACTGGCGTGACTCTTTTAACGTAGTTATTTGAGAATAAATATATTATTATTACTATTATTAAAAGTAGAGTGAATCAGAAAAACCAGTGAAGAAAAAGTAAGGCAAGGCAGTCATTGAAATTCAAAGAAAATATAATAGATGTAGAAACCATAATGGATTCGGATTTCAGAAAAACAGTTCTAGAAGTTTAGATACGCGCTTTGCCCACTCAATACATAAAGAAAGCAATTTATCTAGGTAAGTAATGGTTCTATTATTAATCAATAAAGGAAATACAGATAATTATCTAGAACAATATTACACTCTTCTCCGTCCAAAATAACACAATGTGTTTCCAATTCTGGAACAATGCTTCCGTCACAACCTAAATTGCACCCTTCCAGTCCAGATGTACGTTTTACCCGCCAATGTATCAAATCCGATATGGCTGCAGCCATAATTAAGTACCAATTTAAACGACAATACAGTTCAGTAAGAAACATAGAAACCCCAATAAAGATAATAAAAATAGAAACTATAACAAATTATAAATATTTGCATCCCAAAATGGGATTAAAGAGTACTAAAATGTAGCACTGAAAGAGTCAGTAAGAACACATTACAAATATGTACATGGAGGGCTTTTCCCAAAACAAATCCTTCAAAATGGATTGTACAATAGATGAGTAGAAAACTCAAAGAGCTCTTGAATCTGTCAGTCCCACTGAATCCACCTAACATCCGAGCATCTTCCACGGACCTCCCAAATATGTTGACCCACCAGCAACCAAAGAAATTAGCGTTGTCGTCAGACAAACCAAGAATGGTAAAGCAGCAGGACCAGACAATATTAAAGCTTTGGCGCTGGAAGCAGGCATAGAAGTAACTTTAAAATTGCTGCAAGCTTCCTTCAAAAAGATATGGGAGGAAGAACAGGTGTCAACAGCCTGGAGAGAAAAACACTACATGAAGATTTCAAAGGACTGCGGGGGCATCTCTCTATTCCCAATACCAGAAATCCTAAACAGGCCGTTGTTAAACAGAATAAAAGATACTGTAGACGCTGAAAATCAAGATTAGCGGGCTGGATTCTGTAAGGATCTATAGCCTATCAACCACATTGCAGCACTGTCAATCACTGTGGAACAATCATTTGAATGGAACTTGTCACTCTTACATCAAGCCCCTCGAGCAGGAGAAATCCATCACAGCGTGGACAGAGAGACACTAGTTTGAATATTCAATGTCATATAGATTTATGATCATGGATTAAACTCCGAATTCGTGCATTGTGGATGGCTCACAGACTCGTTCCAAGTGAAGACCGGTGTCGGGCAAGGTTGCTCACTTTCAGCCTTTCCATTTCTCCCCGTTGTTGAATGGATTATGCAAACCTCAACATCTCAGGGACATCAAGTATTGTAGAGAGAAGCTCGTATGAACCTAAACAGTTTGACCTTCGCAGATGACCTAACTCATCCACCCCACGAACAACAAACGACACTGATGATTACGAAAAGCGTAGCAGCAATCTCTGTAGTAATAAGTTTCAACATACGCAAAAGATAAAGTAAGATGCTCCGGTACAATAGAAAATGAATCAACCGGATCACACTTTTTGAAGAAGCCTGGAAGGTATGGAAACTTCTACACATCTAGGCTGCATCATCGATAAACACTGTGGATCTGATGTAAAGGTAGCCTTTCAAAAACTGAAGAATATCTGGGACTCAAAACAACTGCCAGCCAACATCAAGGAAAAAATTCTCAACACAAGCGTCAGACAGTTCTCTTATACCATTACAAACTTGAAGAACCTTTAATGACAGTGGTGTTTATTAACAGTTGTTCACGTAAGATACTGTAGGACGTTGGTCAGACACTATCGTAAACAAGCCACTGTGGCAAAGAACAAACCAGATTCCAGGTGACCAATAAATTGGTAGAAAGCACTGTAAGTGTTGAGGACACACACTGTAGAAATCATCCGTCGCTTATTCTCACACTATCTTCACTACCAATTAAATAGCTTATTTATTCATTTACATTGTTCTGAAAAATTCCTCTCCTCATTAACATCAGAACTTTATCATTATCCTGCACATTGCAACTAACTGATCTCCGGCCTAGTAAGGTGATATCCCTCGGTATCCAGAAATCCTGTTGCCCTGAAACAAACGTATTTATATTATTCACGTGACATAAAAACTCACAAAAAATTGCCAGTTGGCTTGAATTATTGTAGTCGATTGGCTAGACCCACATCCATCGGACACTACAAAACACCTGGAACTGTACCGAAAGAACAAGAACCAAGAGCGAAGAAACCAATCGGTTTATTCCAGCTCGTGATAAAAAGATATTGGAAAGTGGATGGATGTTGACTTGACCTTGCAGCATCATTTAAATGTGTAACCTCCTGAAACTTAATGACCAAATAAGTAAGAAGCTTATGTTAAGTTGGTAACCGTAATGTGAGGATTATAAAGCCGTTTTCTTAACGAAAATTTTTTTTAGAATTATTCATTATGGAAAATTATCTTATTTTTGTTTATCTCATTGTAGATATTGTTGTGGTTACCAGGTTTGGGTAGAAGAAACCACACAAACTCCCTATTTCTAGTAACACATCCAGTCTTACGAGGTTTCTCAAAAGAGGACAGCATAGTTTTAGCATACGTGACGATCCATTTTTCACTGTAATTATGGATTACCAAGGAAATGATCATACGGAAATAATCCAAGTTGATGCACAGGAAACGCCTACGTGCTCATTAGAAGATGAGAGTCAACGGATTAGCTGCGTAGAGTATATTAAACAATATGATATCTCTCAGGTAAGTGTGTTAGGCAAATCTTGTTTACATAACAGATCTGTGGATTGTCATTCAACCAATTTGGTTTGGCATACTCAATCCACCCCGTTTTGTCAAGAATGCATCAAAGCCTTTAGATTTCTGTTAAAAACTGCTAAACAATCTCCAAATGATATAAGTTTTAGGCTCAGCCCCAGATTTCCTATCTAACCACCCATTATTTCAAGCACTAAGAAATTTTAAGTTCCTCATAGATAAATTATATGACTGAAATTAAAAATGGTTTTCTATCAATCAACAACGTACCAATGTTTTAATCCAATATAAGATTCACTGCGGTGTTATAAATTAGTTTGAAGTCTGGCATGAACAGATATCTTAAAAATAACATTTCGGGCAAGTCAAAGCATTGGAATAAGACTCTCTCAAGGTTTTGAAATCACCTCTAAACGACTACCGCATAAGACATTCCAATGAATGAATAAGTATATGAGTTGTACATTGTGAGTTTATCATCACTGTTTAGTAATGCTAATGAAATGATAATGCTACTAATTTCGTATATCCTGGGACAACCGAGTAAGCAATCTTATTGATAGGAATCGACTACTAGGTAGCGATGGCAAGTCGATAGATGAAGTAGTGAAACTTCATCAGTTGAGGTGGTTGGGTCATGTGTTACGTATGCCCAACCACCAACTGTCTCGACGAGCTATGTTTTGTGGTGTAGGACCAGGTTGGGCGAAAGATAGGGGCGACCAGACACAGCATGGCACAAATCCATGAAGTAACTGACAAGTGAACTGAGTCATGTTGGTAGACGTAGACTACCTGGTTGGGGTCCGTGAAACGATCTTAACTGATGGTTAGAGACCTTGAACGACATGGCTCAAAACCGTTTGCAATGGCGCAGGTGCATCCACTCTTTGTTTTCTGTGAAATGCTAATCTTCTGTATTCCTCATCACCTTTACCTTCCTCTTTTTAAGTTTGTTTCACTGGATTGTACTTCTTGAATAATTTCTTCGAACCGTAGTCTTCCTTATTACCGTTACTACTTTAACTACATCTACAACTATGTTATTTGAACTGTCGATTTCATCTCTGTGCTAATGTGTTATGGCAACCTTATGTACGTACATACGAAATTTTACATTGTAACTGATTGACAGAACAACTGGTTCAAATGTTTCTCACCACGACAGTCAGTTACAAACAGCATAAAGCCTGGAACGAATATTCATCAAACTTATTCGTTATAGCACCTTAGCACGGTATGATGATAATAACAAGTAAAGTAGCTAAAGAAGTAGAAATAGTAATGGTATCATTTATTTTGAGAAAGACTAAACGCTGTATAATATTGTTCCAAAAAAAGGAATGAATTCGAAGAGTAAGAAGAACAATATCATAGTTAAAGACTTGGGCTGCGATAAAATGTAACTTATTCTGAGCAGTGTCACAGAAACTTTAATTCCTGAATGTGATTATTGTGCCATCGCCAACAAGATTATCTGCAAGTTCGAACAGGGTTCTGTTTAGGAGTCGGCGATTCCGTGGATTTTTGCTGTACTTTGGTTTTCCCACCCTGATTTGATTCAAACATACTCTGACCAACATTCTGTCGAGGTAGAGGGTGGTTAGGTATTTGTGTTGCATTTTCCAGCCACTTCAGTGAATGAAAGTTTTCTATCTCGTCAATCAGTGTGCCATTTTTTCTAATTCGAAATGCCGAACTTTAGCATTGCTTGCTTGCTTGTCCCTTGATACATGAGCGGTGCTTTAAAAAGCTTAAGACCAAGAACCTGCATTCTTTTTATGTCTTATGTTTATCTGAATTACGTTTCATAGCCATAAAATAATTTTCAATTATTATGCATATTAGCAAGGGGAGAAAGTTTCTGCTCCTTGGATTTAAAACACTGCAAGCTAAATAGCAAAAGACTGATGGCAGTTGGAATAAGATAGCTTATTATGTTAAACAAGTTTACATATCGAGCCTGATGATGCCACTATATTGCTAAGAAGAATAACTATATTCCTTTTCTGTTTCTATTTGACTTAAAACAAAATTTATTCACTATTACATTATTGGCCATATTTATTTGTGCTTTCTGGAGATCCATGTGGGAAAATAGGTGGTGTTATTACTCGTCTACGGTTTCTACAATAGATCATTTTAAATATATATTACCAAGAATATTTTTGTTTTAAACTGATGGTGTTTTTTTCTCTGCCATCATTTGGTATAGCTTGCTCAAATGTTAGCACACAGTGCTGAGGAGTTCGTGCGTCATGTTTGGCTCAGAGGTTGGCAAGTAGTTAACCACCATAGTCTACCTGCATGGTTGCGTGATAACGATTTTATTCTGCATTATCATCGACCTCAGTTAAACACCTTCTGGGCTTGTTTCAAGTCCGTTTTCAGAGTACATACAGAAACAGGAAATATATGGACTCATTTGTTAGGTAAGTTTTACTTATTCTACGGCAGTGATTAATGTCATCCGTCAAATGATTCGTTGTCATTTCGTATAGGTTTGTATGTGATTGGTTAGATTTATTTTCTGCTTCAAGTTACCTAAACAAATTACCATAAGTAACGTGGTGTAACTTCATGTTATTCTGAAAAGACTTAATAATCTCTTTATTTTTGAATATTCTATGGAGATTTTTAAACTAAGGTTACTATGATGACCATTGTCAGTAGTAGTAAATCGTTCAGTATTTTTTTATTTTATTCATTTGGTGAAGAGAATTCCTTCTTGCTCTCAAAAATATCCTACTTCATATATCTCGTTTAAAAAAGCTCACTCACAACGCAGTAGACAGTTAAGAATAGTTAAACACAATGATTACAACTCAAAACCCATCTCTAGTCAGCGGCAGTGTTTAGCCATGTGTTGACTACATCCAATAAACCAAAAGCAAAACGTTATGGACTGAATGGAAAGTTTGAAATTCAAATATTAAATTGATTATAAATCTTCAGAGATATCTAGTGCTCGAAAGAGAATGCTTTAGCAAAAGACAGCGACGATGGGTAACAGTAGACAACTGTTTAGACTTATCAAGGAAACTGGTACTTGGAATCCATCTGTAAGCGGAATTATCTCAGAAAAGGATGTTCGTATCATTCATTCTCAACCCAGGTGATTGGATTGATGGGCAGAACACTAGGAATCAGTTCAACTGGCCATCGGCCACAGGCTGATAAAAAGCCTACGAAACGACCACGAACAGTGGTGGGTAGCAAAAGCGAGAGAGGTGGAAAGGGCAGCGGCGATAGGCAACAGTAGTCAGTTGTTCCGCCTTATCAAGGAAACATATTAGGAACCAGAATGTAAGTGAGACTATTTCGGAAAATAGATGGGATTATGATTCATTCTCAATCCAGGAGATTGGATCGATGGGCAGAACACTTTAGGGATCAGTTCAATTGGCCTTCAGCCACACTTCGGTTACCCACGATCTCCAGTCATCCTGAATGGCAAATCGACGTAAGACCCCGACTCTTTATGAAGTTGAAAAAGCCATAGGAAATCTGAAGCGAGGACGAGCAGCAGGACCCGATAGATTGACTCCTGAGATTTTTAAGGATGGTGGTCCAGTTTTAGCAGCTAGGTTGACTGAGATTTTAGGTAGTGTCTGGGAGCTGGACTGTTGTAACGCTTGCTTGAATAATTCCCGGCTAATTCCTATTGCTTAGTATTCTCTGACCACAATACACTGGACAAGTTCCAAAGAATCAAAAACATGGAGGAACAGAGAAAGATTATATTCCAAATAGCAAGGTTAAATGGAAATAAGAAGCCAAAGGTGATGGTGAAGGCGAAAGCAAAATAGATACAACGTTAGTTTCTTTATAGTATTTACATCAGAAGCTTCTGGATTGTAATTCACGTGATCGACTGGATTAGATTTAGCCAATCAGCGTGCAGCTAACAATACGAGAATTTTCTACCCTGTCCTCCAAGACTCGATCAGGCGCTGATTGGATAGGAAATTAGCCAATCAACGCGAAGCAACGTAGTCATGCTTTAATTCCATCTATGTCCCACTAACATGGACATAATACCATCTGACTGGTCTCGAACCCTGATTGTCTGAATTTATAAGGAAGGACAAAAGTCCTCTTGTGACAATCACAGGGGAATAAGCCTAACTAATATAGTTTCTAATTTTTTAGCCTCAGTTATCCTTAGATGTCTAACTAGTGCTCGTGAAGAGCAGACTAGAGAAAACCAGGCTAGTTTTCGACCTGGAAGTGGATGTATAGACCACATCTTCACACTACGTCAGGTCCCGGAACACAGACACACCTTTAAGCATCATATAATAGTTGTCTTCCTGGACCTTAAGGCGGCATTTGACTCAGTGGATCGTGAGGTACTGTGTAAGTGTCTGTCACTGAAAGGTGTACCAAAGAAGTACATTAACCTTATACAAACTCTCTACTCGAACACCACTGGTCGAGTAGGAGCTTATGGTGAACTGTCACCGGAATTCTTTACTTCAAGTGGTGTCCGTCAGGGATGTCCACTCTCTCCATTCTTGTTTAATTTTATCATAGACATGCTCCTAGACATAACATTATCCTCATCTGAATTTTCAGGAGTAGACCTTCTACCGTGAGACTCGCTTGTTGACTTAGAATATGCCCATGACATTGTCCTACTTGGTGAAGACGCTGACAAAATGCAGAGTCTTCTGACCACCCTAAGCAACAACCCAGGCATGTTCGGGATGCGATTCTCACACTCGAAATGCAAAATGTTGCTTCAAGACTGGGTTGCATCGGCATCTGAACTAGTGATAGGGAGTGAAGTAGTCGAACGTGTAGACCGCTTCATTTATTTTGGGAGTCTCATCAATGCTGATGATCAGGTGTGTGGCGAAATCTCAGTGCGGATACAGAGAACTCGATTGGCTCTTTCCAACTTCAGTCACTTATGACGTAGACAAGAAATCCATGTACTAAACAGAGAACGAATCGACTTCGCAGCAGTTCGCTCTATCCTACTATATGGATACAAACCATGGCCGGAGTAAGAGTAGAAGATATTCGTAGGTTACTGGTATTCAATGATAGATGTCTTCGAAGCACTGCTCGTATATCCTGGGACAACCGATTAAGCAATCTTATTGATAGGAATCGACTACTAGGTAGCGATGGCAAGTCGATAGATGAAGTAGTGAAACTTCATCAGTTGAGGTGGTTGGGTCATGTGTTACGTATGCCCACCCACCGACTGTCTCGACGAGCTATGTTTTGTGGTGTAGGACCAGGTTGGGCGAAAGATAGGGGCGACCAGACACAGCATGGCACAAATCCATGAAGTAACTGACAAGTGAACTGAGTCATGTTGGTAGACGTAGACTACCTGGTTGGGGTCCGTGAAACGATCTTAACTGATGGTTATGGACCTTGAACGACATGATCAAAACCGTTTGCAATGGCGCAGGTGCATCCACTCTTTGTTTTCTGTGAAATGCTAATCTTCTGTATTCCTCATCACCTTTACCTTCCTCTTTTTAAGTTTGTTTCACTGGATTGTACTTCTTGAATAATTTCTTCGAACCGTAGTCTTCCTTATTACCGTTACTACTTTAACTACATCTGTGGTGCTGTGGTGCGAACTACTTATAAGTAGTATATGACGTGATCGTCAACGTAATGTCTGGCAGCCGAAGATGGGGGAAGATCAAGCAAGGAAGAGTTAGAAAACAATGGAATTTGTATGAAACGCATGAATAGTGACAATGGATTGATGTTTTGCAACAGGAACAGTCCAGTTCGATATGATGAACTGTTATTTTGCAAATGAACGATTTACGATATGGTTTTCCAATTTTACTTAGTAACTCTGTAATTTTCGTTAAATACAATTCGGTTGCCCCACCTGTGTTCTCGTTTACTACACATCTACCACTATGTTATTTGAACTGTCGATTGCATCTCTGTGCTAATGTTTTATGGCAACCTGAACGTATGTACTTACGAAATTCTGCGTTTCGACTGACCGACTGACTAATAAATCCATAGTTTAGTTGAATGATATTATTTGTTCACATGTACTAATATGTTCAATGCTCATTTTGAATCGACCTTTTATTTACACTTCTCATCCTTTTTCTGTAGTTTGTTTATGATGTCCAGGCCATAAGATTAATTAGTTCTTCAAAGGTGTTACACTCAAGACACCGATTTGCTGTAAACTATTCAGAAAAATGTTTAGTGAGGCTATTTCTAAATGTTCTTAGTAGCTTTGCTTCATCATTTGATTTTAATATTCTTTTTTATGCTGAAGTAATTCACACTTCTGTAGTTCTTTGCTTTTAATGAGTCAATGTACACAGAATTATCAGAAACCTGATATTTTCAGTGCATTATCAGAAATCAGTATTTACTACTTTCTTAACACGCTTCTTGCTGTTCGCCAAAAACTACAATATATAAGAGGTTGTTATGTTTAAAATAATCACAAGTTCAATTTTAAGCCAATTAATTAATTTAGATGAAAAATGATACCGCATGATTTGATTTTTCTTTCTGGTTTCAAGTCTACTCAAACCCTCGATTTAACCTAATTAGTAGTAATGTAGTGAAGGAGAACACAAGTGAGGGCAACCGAATTGTATTTATCGCAAATGACAGAGTTGATTGGTAAAATAGGAAAACCATATCGTAATTCGTTAATTTTCAAAATATCAATCCATCATATCGAACTGGATTGTTCCTGTTGCAAAACATCAATCCATTGTCTGACATTTCACTGTTCATGCGTTTCATACAAATCCCATTGTGTTCCCGCTCTTCCCCCACCTTCTGCTGCCAGACATTACGTTTTTACCCGCGTCATATACTACTTATAAGTAGCGCGCACCACAGTAATGTTTCATTCTTTATTGTTTCGACACCAAACCATTCAATAGTCGTTAAAGGAGGTACAGTTGAATTGTTTTTCAAAATTTGATTCTTCACTTTTAGGTCTTAATCGTTGTACTTTTTTAAACTGATGCTTTTGATTTCCACAGCTCTTTTCAATTCGTTGACAATTCTAATATGGTATTCTCAAGCTTCTTGACTTCTAAAAATTGTTTATGATCTCTGTCTTTACTAAACCATTCAACTCTTACGTTCAATCTAGTCTATTCAAATTTCTGTAGCATTCTGAGGTACAACAACTAAATTATTAAGTAAAACAATGTTATTCATCACTTTAAGTTCAGTCTCTCTTCTTACCTGATTTTGTGTCAGTATAATGAGAGTAGATAAAGACTGAGATTTTATAATTTGGAATTTACTTTACTTGAAGTCAGTCTTAAAACTTCTTCCTGAATAGTCGAATATATTGCCTGAATAATGTGTTGCCATTTCTAAACCTTTCCTAATGATCATGTTAAACATTGTTTATTCTAGGGTGTGGGAGCTTTTTCGCTATTACTATCTTCATGTTGATTCAGTCAGAAGCTCTACTACAATGGCAAGACAAGCTTGTATTTTCCTCCTTCTTTTTTGGTGCTATTGTTTGTCTTGGATTTTCATGTTTATTCCATACTCTTTCTTGTCATTCGAAAAGCATTGGACGACTGTTTAACAGGTAATTCTTACTATTTTTTTTTACAAAAGCTTATTAAATAATAGGGTATTCTAATCACAAAATATTACTGCTGTTCGAAAATACCAGTGAATTGAGTTGACGTTATTCATTGTGTAAGGAATCGTTAATTAATAGAGAAAGTGTACATTAAGATAGACAGCTTTTTTTTCTAATTTGTCAGTGTTTTGTTCTTACTAAGATATTTTTCAGACAGCGGATCTGATATTAGACTAGTACTGATACATCTGGTTACGTCTAGTCGAACATGGAATCTAATAACCCAGTAGAGGTTATCAATATTAATTTTTGAAGAACAAAAATCATTACAGTTTCGGGTTAGCTTATGGTAAACCCAAACATATTGAACAACAAAACAAACCACTTAGAATGCCGAATTGCCGTACAGTATCAACAAAAGATATGCACGTAGTATGTGTTATGATTTCCACTCGATGCCAATTAGAACGAAACAACAATGTAATAATTGCATACATTAACAATCGATGATACACACAAAATGTCTCCCCAAACATTTTGTAGTTTACAAAACGAATGATTATTGTTTGGATGACTGTGATACCTCTAGATAGACACCCTGCTTACGTTTTTTTCCACAAGCTTATTCGTTTCCTGAAAGTATATTGTAACACTGTTCATCTTAATGAGTTGTGTTCAAGAATAATTGTTTGTATAAGGTCATTTATGCCATCGTAGCTGTATGAAACGTGTACTTTTAAAATAGTCACTTCATGCTATCTTGAAATGCTAACTAGTGCTCTTAGTGTCTAAAAAATTTCGGGTCAACCACCTATGGATCCATTAACTGATAAATAACATTCCTTTAATGACTAGAAAGCCACATTCTCATAACTTTTTCGTATTTTGATTAGATATTATACTAATTTTCCATTAATGTGACATACATAAATAGTTTATGGTAAAATTTATCTTTCCTTTTTCAGGTTGGATTATGCTGGCATATCATTTCTGAATTTAGGCTCGTTTATACCATATTTATACTATTCATTCTATTGTATACTGTGGGCCAAATTATTTTATATGACTTTGATTGTCGTTTTGGGAACAGCAGCAGTCATTGTTGCAATGCATCCATCTTTTACCACACCTCGTTATCGTCCACTTCGTGCTGGCATTTTTATGGGACTAGGTCTATCAGGAGTTATTCCATGCATTCATACAGTAATATTAGATGGATTCCTGCATTCTATTATGCAAGGCTCTTTAGGTTGGCTTGTTCTTATGGCTGTTTTATATTTAAGTGGTGCAACTATCTATGCTGTCCGTGTACCTGAAAGAATTTTCCCTGGACGTTTTGATATTTGGGTTAGTTATATGATAGATTGTACGTAATTCTTCCTTTTTGCCTTTACACAAAATGGAATTATTTTTATAAAAAAAAAAACAAGATGAGTAATTAATAGCTAGTAAGATTTAAATGTTTTACGCATTGTGTCGATATTCTTATGGTAGAGTGAGTTTTTTGGTACCAATTTTTTAAGCATACTATGAGCATCCTGTTGATTACATAAGAGTTCCTTACTGTACATAATCTCTACTTGTTTTCTGTATAGTTTTATATAGCATGGACCTTAAATAAACTAGTACAGGATGTTTCATGTGCACGCTGCACTAGTAAATGAAATGCACCGTTTGGCTACTTGCGAAGCTTCAAATGTGACGGCTAGTGATACTAACTGGTTAACCAAAGTTAAGTAGTTGGAGTGGGATTTTGGCTTATGGATAAAACTCCAACATACTAGCTACTGAGTCACTCCAAAACATGGCAGAAATCCATGAAGTCATTGACGAGTGGACTGAGCCATGTCGGTAATTGTCGACTCCCTGGTTGGGGTCCGCGAGATGATAATAATCAATGGTTAGAGACCTTGAATGACAGGGCTCAAAATCGTTCGCAATGGCGCCGGTGCATTTATTCTTTGTGTTCTCTCAAACACTAATCTTCTGGATTCTTCAACCCCTCTAGTTTTGACTTTCTAAACTTTTCTCATTTAATCATACTTCTTGAATAATATCTTCTCATCCTAACCTCTTCGATTACTTCTAATACCCTTACTAACTCTTCTACTATTAGATTTGAATTGACAATTACATCTCTGTGCTGATGTGGTATGGCGACATGAACTGGTGTACCTACGTACGAAGTTCTACGTTGCAACTGACTGACTGAGTCACTAATATCGACGTATTAGTACTTTAATACTTGTAAAAACTTTATCTTTAAAAAAAGTAATTAGGAAAGTTGGTTACCTAAGTTGTATTCTGTCAGTTTTGTTCAACTGAATTTCGAATATTTATTCTATCATAACCTCATTTTTTTAAACTTTTCATCCATACTTACCAATGTTTAGTTTCAAAGTCATCAAATATTTCATATATTCGTGGTGATTGCAGCTTTAGTCCACTATCATGGTTTGGTTAAACTTGCTGATTACCGTTTATCTACTGGCGATTGTAAACCTGTCCAACTTAATTTCGATTCAGATCGATTAAAAATTATCGGTCTGGATATATTTTCAAACACATAATTTACTTGATCCATAAAACTATCATTACGAGTACGCATTTGTGATATATATATAATAACTAATGGAACTTTGTATAAATTCATCTAATGACAAACGACGCTGATCGTTCATCATTTGATTTACTGAACAAGCAATACTTACTATCTCAGTTTTGTATGAACTAAAAGTCAAGCTTTCTTTATTTTGGTTTATGTGATCTTGTAAAGACTATCACATCTACCTTTCTGTTTAGGTCGTTTGCTGCCTTTTATTCGCCTATATTTGTATATTTATGTTATTAATAGTTTATGATTATCTAGTATGATTTTTCAGGAAATTAGGTATTTGAATAAAACCAATTTCTCATGATTACATTATCCTTTATAAATGTCATTTACAAAAGTTTAGATTAGTATATCAAGATTCCACACGATCTTATTAAAAAAATTGATACATGCTTTACCTTATCGTAATTTACGTCTATAACTTCTTATCAGATATTAATCTCATGTTCCGTACTGTGCTAAATGGAGCCTAACTATTAGACCTTACGTCATTTATATCAGCTAGTTGTTTAGATATATTATGGTTGGAAAATCACTTAGTGTGTACTGTTTCACACATTAGTTCATGAAAAAATAAAAAACGAATTAACCAGAAGGACAGTAATTTCAATGATAATAAGATAAAGAGCAGAAAATGATTTGAAAAGAAAGGAAGTAAAACACACAGAAATATTTTGTGAGATAACTAGGTTTAAATTACTTGTCTAAACACATAAACATTGGTATAAAGAGGCACCTAAATATTTATGAGCCTTATACAATATTGAATCCCAGTGGGTTAGGGTAATGCCCGGGTGCCCATACCGAAGGTGATCTTCTTAGGAGTCAACACCCTGAGCCTTTGATCCAAGTTTAATCCATAAGGCAGCGGAGTAATGTGAGGAGATGAAGTTTCCCGGCACTCGGTGACCAACAAAAGGTTTATATGCCATTCATCCCGTCAGGATCCTGAATCCGATGTGCACTATTTATTGGTTTGAAATCAGGGTTCTCTAACTCCAAACTCCGCACTCACAAACCCAATTAAAGCGCTGGACACTCTTTTCACTCTCTCAACTTCATAAACAACACCCTGCTATGAAAAAGCGGTGAGTAGGACTTCTCTGACAATGGCTATATAGGCGTGGTCATATGAGAGCATTTTGATGGGGAGAGTGGACTGCTCCCACTCTCGGCAGTACCAGGGCATGTGCTAGTGCGACTGCTCAGGATCGAATCGAAGAACTTGAGAACCCCTGTTAATTTCGGTCCTTATCAGAGCCCGTTTCTCCTAATATATATCATGTTTGTATGATTTTCTGATATTGATAACTCACCCTCTTAAATTATATTTCGACTCTCCATAGTTGGTGCTATGTTGTAGTCGATGTAAAAGCCCACTATTTTTGATGTATAACGCTTTTGTTGTGATAAAGCCAGTATGTCCACGAGATCTTCAATCCTTTCATCAACATATAAGTTAGGTTCATTGGATTGAATGCTTTGATACTGGTTGATTAACTTAATTTTCGTTTTTAATCACTATATATTTATCAGTATCCTTAACTCGGGACTTCACTAGAGCCAATCAATAAGTTGTCTTGAACTAGGATACCAAGTGCCACGGTTTCTATCTTCGTATGAGTTTCAGTAATATGAAATACTTATGATCTTATTGTTTGAGAGCTTTAATCTCAGAGTTACTACCCTCATTATTAAATTACAAATTTTTCAGTTACCGTCTATGAACGCTATCACGTTTGAAAAGACTATCTCACCAATCTGATTAGACCATTCGACTATCCACTAGGGAAATCAACCCGAAGAAAGCTAGTAGATGATTGTGATGTGCCAGATTTTCGATCACAGATCAGTTAGAAAAATTGGCTTACATAAAAAAGATGGTGAAATATTATTATTTTCTCAGAGCGGTAAATGCACAAAGAAAAAAGGTTATCATAGATCGACGCGAAAAGCTTACTTCATCGTACAATTCAAGGTTGACAACATCTATTATCAATGCATACGTATATATCAAATATAAGTACGGAAAATTGGTACTTGCAACAGGAAAACACATCATTACGCCCAGAAGAGAACTAATGCTGACAGCTTATGAAGATGTTACTTACTTTCAGAAAACAATGATAACTTATTGTCCATTTTTATGTAGATTTTATCGACACGCGATAATTAGTCAATAAATGTGGTGAAAATACAAAAATAGATATTACACTGAATGTTGTATGTTGGGCTGAATAAGTAACATTAAATTAACATAGATGTTATACAGAACAAATATCACACTAAATACATAATCTGATGCTTCATCATATATATGTATGATTTTTGAAATTATTGCATACTTTATAATACTACAATAATTTCTAACCAACCAGTGAGATTAATCAAAAGAAGTGAACAAATAAAAATAGAAAAAACTAATTCTAAAATGCCCAAAACAGTTACAAGGTTTGTGATGCCCTGAGTGACGGGACATAAATAATATGACCCATGAACACTGCGCAACCAATAAAATCTATCTTACAAAAACATCACAGTTGAGTAAAAAATAATTATAAAATAAAAAGTCTCTATCACTAATAAACTGTTAGTAAGAAAATGGTTATAAAAGTTGAGTGATATACCTGATTCTTGTTTTTGATTTACACAATAAAATAGTTCGGTAAATAAAAAAAAAGACTAGTATCCTGAATACAATGAGCATAGATATATGTTATTTTATCACTAAAGAACTTAATGTTCCAAAATAATAATTAAGTTAAAATAATTTTTAAAAATAATTCTAGGACCTGAAGTTTCGAAATTAGGAATGAAAGAAACTAATTATTGCAGACGGAGATTATTCTGTCGTGTACTACATCTCTATATCACAGGAAAATAAAATAGTTCGATGATAAGTGGGCATTCTTCTCAGATGTCTCAGTTAATTCACCAATTGTCACACAAAAAAACGACTAATGATAAACAATAAGAAAAAAAACATATGATAACAATTATCTGACAAGTTTCTTTTTAAACTTCAAATTGCCTTTGTATAGGTGTTGTTGAATATCATCGACATTGATGTGTATTCTTCTACTCAGTGGTTATTAATAACTTGCAACATATGCGGGGGTATATTGAAATTTTCCTTCGTAAGAATATCATCCGCTGGACGACAATCACCTTCTGATAATCTATAGGTAGAAAGTTGAACTACTCCATGATAGTGAACAAATGCTGCGGCAATGACGAATACATGGAAAATTTGATGACTTTGGAACTGGTGAACAAGAAATGGCAAAACGAATCATTGTAGAGTAAATCATAAATACCAAATGATTATCAGAATCTTACAAATAAAAAGCTGAGGTTGTCGTAGCTACAAACACAAGTATATATTAGTCTAATCGTCACAATGATTCTCATCACGACTATCGCGATTCCCTTGGTAGCGTCATCTTTTGGTAATGATTTGGTGGGGAAATTATGCCCAATATAAGTGTGTGACAGGCCTAACATCTATTATGACCGATTAAAATCAATAAAAAGGAAATACTTCAATGACAAGCAGTCATCTAAGGAGTTAAATTTAGAACAAATGTATACCACACACACCAACCTGAAAATGGAGTAATGATAAGGGCTAGAAGCTTTTTGAGTTGTTAGTGAACGGTAACATACCTTTTTAATTAGTCATGATAACCAACCACGTGATAAACTCTCGATTAAAATGAATAGTGTCATCTTATAGTTTTCTGGAGGCTACATTTAACCATAATTGATTTATAAAATATTGTTTTGATAAAAGTATTAAAAGCGTGTGAAATTTACTGAAAAGTAGTGATTAAAATTGTTTTATGTTTTGGCAATTTTTATCATATTCCAGCGAACTCCTAAGTCTTAGCAATAGAAAAAACTAGAAAGTTTCATCAGAATGGGAATTTATATTTTAATTTCTTATAAGTTAACATGTTGACGGCATGCAAAACTGGTTGATAATACTGATAAACATGTGATTATACCTATCAATTAAACCGACAGCGATGATGAGATTATCTTATGACTGAAAGCTTGAAGTGCAGTATTACCAAATGATTACAAGTGTTTTAGAGATGAAAAATATTTTTAAAAAAGTTTTAGTATAAAGTCCTGGATCTAACTGTCTAAAGCAAACGATTATTTCTGAGTGAAAGTAAGCAACATGAAACCTAGTAATAGATTTAAGTGATATACTATTAATCATTCAGAGCAATATCAGAGAAAAATTAGGTTCTTTCGAAAGTTCTGAAACACCATCATCAACTGCATTTTGAAGTACAATTTTGTCGAAACAACCACTTACATTTTCATCAGTAACATGACAATTCCACATTCCCAAATACTAAGTACGTGAAAATCAATCTTAAATTCGCTTATCGATTTAAGATGGTTTTCTTTTGTTAGCTTCAACACACTGTGGTGAATTCTATTTACTAACTTTTAACCTATTTAAGTTATTTGATTCCTAATGCATTTTCTTTGTAATGATTATTTTACTATAATTCACATTCAATAACAATAACACAATCGATTAAACTATGTGATGAATAACTATTGAATTGACATATAACTACATCAGCTTGGGAGTAGAATTTACACTGGTTTCGTACTATAAACATTAATAAGATTAGTGATTATAACTACTGTACAAAGGGTACCGCAATTGTTGTTGGTAATCACTGTGTACCTTATTCTATAATTAAAACAGGGTCTAAGGATGAGTTATCATTTACTAAGCAATACGTAATCACATACGATCAAAAAATATCTTTCTATGTCTTTACAGCCATCAAATTATTTCCTAATTAATGCCAGAATAATTTAACGTCCACATCGAAGGCTTATCTGATGATCATCAACAACAGCAACGTAGAACTTTGCACGTAATTACAGCAGTTCAAGTTGCCATACCACGTTAGCACAGAGATATAATTGTCAATTCAAATCTCATAGTAGAAGAGGTAGTAAAAGTATTAGAAGTAATCGGAGATTAAGGTTCAAAGATGTTATTCAAGAAGTATAATTCAGTGAGGTAAATTTAGAAATAGAAAGATAGAGGTGATGATTAATTCAGGAGGTTGGCATTTCATAGAACAGTTTCTTTTCACACTAATGTACATTACTTATGGTAGTCACAATTATTTATAATAATCTGTATAACAGTCCCGTTCATAACTATGACCTAAAAATTGTTGTATCTATCAAACAAAAACTGTATATAATTGTGACTCTATAACTCCAAGAATAGTACTGTTGAAAAGTTACAGTTCTGCCTAACCACATTTATTGTCATTTTAAATCTTGATGACTACTTTTCTACACAAACAGACATATTGTATTTGATGAGAAGAATTAAGCTTTGATTGACAATAGTTCTAGAAACGTAAGTGTACACCTGGAAAACAAATTAACCTCAAACATTGGAAACCTTGATATTGCACACAAACAAATAATAATTTTTTAGATCGATTATTTATTTTTCCACTTGCTTAAGATTATATTATACAACAAACTAACTGAATTAAAAATTTAGTTTAACGTAAAAAAAACTATTAAAATTAAACTGACCCAATAATCAAAATGGCCACGAAAACACCTTTCAGGTACACGTGCTGCATAAATGGAAGCACCAGAGATGTAAAGCACAGCCATCAGAACAAGCCAACCGAATGACAGATGATGAACCGATGGCCAAAATCCATTTAAGATGATAGAGTGTACACATGGGATTAAACCTGAAAGGCCAAGAGCTATAAAAACTCCTGCTCTTAAAGGTCGATAAGGAGGAGTAGCAAATTTTGATGACATTGAAATAACGATTGCAGTAGTGCCCAGTACTCCAATTAAGGCTAAGTAAAATACTTTAGCCCAAAATATACAGTAGAATGTGTAGTACAAATAGGGCACGAAAGAGCTCATTGTTAAGACGGCTATTCCAATATAATCTAGCCTATAAATAAAATGATAAGATGTGTTATTAATAAATAATATTACTTTCTTTGGTCAAATCAAAAGTTTATTAATTGATAATTTAGTACTCTTGGAATGAACTTGTTTTAGAATACAGAGTTATATCATATTTTATGCGCAAGGACGCTATCCATAAAATTTCTGAGATCACAAGAATACACAGGATATATATAGGTAATTTTATCAGACTGCAAAGAAAATAATATAATTTGCTTGTTTAGAAGTTCGCAACTGTTCGTTATTAGGTGGTCGATACCAATATGCATTAATGAAGATGTATTTTCGGGTTCACGTACGCAAATACATTTCACATCTTTTAGATGGAGTATTGGGTAGTTTTAAAGGTTGATTAAGTTGAATTTGTAAGAATATAAAGTATGAAAACACGTTTAATTATTTAAGTTTTGAATTTAAGTGTATTTACCTTTTTTGTCTTTACACTAATATATTACTCTTCTGATTTGTAGTAATCAACAGCTGTACACTATCACAAATATTACTATGCAGTGTGGTAACCACGTATAATCCTACATGTTCTAATCTAGGTCATACTTAGTATGCCCGATCGTACCTACTACTGTGATGAATGAAAATGGAAGACCAGATTGGAAGACATTCTACTAGCCAAAAAGTGTAAACCTTATCACAAAATATCAATTTGCAAATCGCGTATTTTTGGCTATCTCTTTCTACATGTCTTCCAATCTCAGAAACACCCTAATCGCGCTGCGCATCCTCGCTCCATATGGAAATTCAGAGAGACATTCTGCTGCATATCCACTGGATACCACTTATGAGCTTCGTTGTAAGTAGCACACACCATACCAGCATGACGTGGTGGTCAGGCTTGCTGATCGTGATGACCCAACCGAGCTATATTGGCTGGAATACGCGTTTAGTTAGGTCCCACCATGCCAGGCAGGTCAGTAGGAGAACGGTAAGACTAAAAACAGCCACTTAAGGTTTGAGGGCGAGGTCGTATTGCTTACTTTAGGGAATTTCGATAATAGTACGACGTTTCTCTTAGACAACCAGCATCTGCGGCGATGCTACCTTCCCACAAAGGAAAGAATGGATTAGAAAAGATCGACCCTAAAAATGTTGCACCTCACTTCACCGCGCGGGTTCTTGTCTCCGGCAATAAGGCCTTTTGGATTGCAGAGCTAACGCGTTAAAAACCTCCCATAAAAAGGTCGTGTACGACCGACCTCAAGCAGTTGCTCTTCCGGCCCTGCAGATGACGCTCCAGGTCGCTGAGACCAACAATAATCCAACATCCTTTTCAGGTCCATCAAGAAACTCCCTTCCAAGGTGTGGGCAGCCGAGAAGTGATATCTGCCCTCATACTCGTAACAACACACACGGGATCAAATTATCCAAAAAACATTCCTATACCTCTAAATAACTCTCTTATTTCCATGACTAACCCTTCTTTCATTTCTTTATCACCTCGCGCCGCTAATGCAAACGATTTGAGTACGCGAAACGTTATGCCTGGTATCCTGAAACCCCGCTCTAAACTACATATTGAAGCTTTTAGTGTTCGAAACTTGTGTCAAAAAGGAAGACAGATTTCCTTAGTTAGGACATTAGAATTTCATGCCACTGATGTATACTGCGTCTCCGAAACGCACATACAGGACTCGAATAGTTTTCCATTTTACCACACCTTTCAAGAACCAAGGCAATTTACCCTTCGTGAGTCTGGAAACCTCACTTTCTGTGAAACCTTACTTTCTGTGGCCTTGCTAGTGTAGGTACAGCATTGAGTTATAAAGCAGAACTAGCTCTCTTAGACTGCATCCCAGTAGACCGACATCTGTGCATTGTCCGACTAAATGGGACAGTAAGAAATCGGAAAGATAGGGACACTCGCCGTTGCATCTTCGCAGTTTCTGCCTACGCTCCCACTGACTGCAGCTCAGACATGGTAAAAGACAAATTTTACACAAAGCTTTCCAACCTCCTTCAAAAAGCCAAACAACCTGATGTAGTAATAATGGCTGATGGTTTTAATGCCTAGGCAGGTAAACTAAGCGAAACGGGGTGGATCCTATAGTGTTGCGTTTCAAAGAATAGATAACGGCGACCGTCTGTTACGACTATGGTTAGGTAACCGCCTATTTCTGGCAAGCACTAATTTTAAACATATCTTCTGACATGGCGACCCCTAAAATCGACTCATCGCTGGACCTAACTAGGCCACACCGCTGTAAAGGCTCGATTGAGGACTGTTGCTCGTTCTGAAGCACATGTTTAGATTCAGATCATGGTCTATTACGAGCATATATTTATATGCGGTTCACTAGACGTAAAAAGGAATCAACAACGAAATCCCTTATCGTTTTGCTAAACGATAACATAGTTAAGAGTACATTTGAGGAACAACTAGAAAAACAGTTAGGTGGTCAAGCCAAAACATCGTACAAATTCATAAAGTCACTGACAAGTGGACTGAGTCATGTTGGTAGATGTAGACTACCTGGTTGGGGTCCGTGAAACAATCTCAACCGATGGTTAGAGACCTTGAACGGCATGGTCAAAGTCGTTTGTAATGACGCAGGTGCATCTACTCTTTGTGTTCTCTGAAATGCTAATCTTCTGAACTCCGCATCACCTTTACCTTCCTCTTTTTTAAGTTTATTTCACTGGATTGTACTTCTTGAATAATCTCTCCAAACCGTAGTCTTCCTTATTACCGTTACTACTTTTACTACATCTATCACTATGGGATTTGAACTGACAATTGCGTCTCTGTGCTAATGTGGTATGGCAACTTGAACTGATACACTTACGTACGAAGTTCTAAGTTGTAGCTGACTGACACATTTAATATGAATCCTAGTGATACTACAGGATTGTTCAGAGCGGAGATCTAACGAGGTCCGAATTTTCATCCTAATAAATGACAGTTACGTGCACCAACAATTCGCCAATTACTTCACTAAATTTTTTAAACCATGATTTTGAAAACATAACAATATTATCAACAAAATATTACAACTGATGAGTTATCAATTAACGAACTTCTGTACAGTAATCAGGTTAAATAACAATAAAAACCCTAGTTATCAATATAAACGTATACATGCATACATCACTTTCATTACTTGCTCATAATTCTTGCCACATGTTCAGAATGGCAAGATATTGTATGAAAAAGACAGGAGAATCCAAGACAACACATTGCTCCAAAAATGAATACTGAGTAAACAAATTTATCCTGCCATTGTAATAAGCTGCTTGGTTGAGACAATATATAGATTAATATGACGGCAAAGCTGAAACAACCTAATTGTTTGAAAAAAAGATTGACAATTAAGTTTAATAAAATAAACAAACCTAGAAGATGAGTCCATATATTACCAGTTTCAGTATGAATACGAAATACGGACTTAAAGCAAGCCCATAAAGTATTTAACTGAGGTCGATGACCATGTAACAGCATATCATTATCTTTTAACCACGCAGGCAATCTATGAAAGTTCACCACTTCCCATCCACTCATCCATAAATGACGTGCAACCTCTTCAGCTCTATTTGCTATAGCTTGAGCTTTCTAAAAAAATTCGGAAAATAATTACATTAGTTAAATAATTTTGCATCATAAATGATATATTTTTATTGTGGTAAGGAATATAAGACTATACTTAAGTTACTTTCTCAGGAATGTACCGAAAAGATGAGATAATCTGTATAAATCAGTAATCAACAGAAGTTATAAACTGACCGATGTGTGACCGCCATCGGAAACCTGGTACACTGGACGGCTGTTTCATTCCAGTTGCCATACCGTCTTTATGTGATACTTGTGCCCAGCCGCCGCCTACCCGGACGTACAAAGTTATCTGGTGTAAGAGTAGGCTGGAAGAAAGATAGAGGCGGCTAAACGAAAACATGGCACTGACAACTGGACAAAGTTATGTTAGTAGGTGTAGAGTAACTGATTGGAATCCGCGAGACGATCATAAATGGCGGTTAGAGGCTTTGAATGACACGGCTCAACATCGTTTGTAATGGCACAGGTGTATCCATTCTTCATCGTCGTCTGAATTATAAGCCTCGGAATTCAGAAACGAGGACAATCATATTTCGAGAAATATCGGACCAGCATTCAATCAAAAAGCACAGTAATCAAGAACTCAATGATCTTGAAACTTTAAGTGTCGAGGTGACAATATCAAAGGGACCTAAATAAGAAATTGAAGTGTAGAACTAGAATGTGTTGTTTTGTCCATGTTCATGGAATGGAACATTTTCGAAGTTCTGTTGGTGACTATGCTTACAAAATGTATGTACTACTTAGAAATGTTTAACTGTTGAATAGTAATTAAAAGGAAACATTACTCATTATTAAGTGTCATTGAAGCCTAGAATATAATTAATCATGTTAACATAACTGATTTGGCTGCAGTTATTAGTACAAATCTGAAAGTATATCGATTAGAAATTATGAATAGAAAAACGAAGTTACGTTTGGTCAGTAAAGGTTAACTGATATCTCTAACAACTTAACTACTGACAATGAAAACTAATGGGAACCGTTAGAAAGTATTTTCTTACATATAGAGTAATCTGACAGCCAAGAGCCATGAAAACTAAATCTTCCAGAGTCCTATCAATTGTTTTAGTTTCATGGGCTGCAGCTAAAATGCTCATCCATTATTCATGAACGGTCGCACAGACTATCAACGGGATCACTTAACAGGAAGCCCAGTGCTATCTGCTTAAGGAATGCGACTAAAGCGATGCACATGTTTATGCAAACAAAACATGATATTTGAAGTTCAGGATAGCACCAAACAGTACCGGCGAAAAACACAGAGATCCCCAAACATACTGTGCTTACTTAACCAATGATTTCGTGGGGCAAAGGTGCGATAAATTAGGTCAAATGTGGCGTTATCTTATTCTTATGCATTAAGTCACACATATTCACGGCCCACACAATTGACGTTAGTCTGCTGCCTCGCCAACACAATAAACGATCGAAATTTCTGTTTAGTTTTGTAAAATTACCTGTTGACAGACACCAATGATTAGAAGCTACTAGGTTTCTAGTATGCAAAATGGATTAAGCAACTGACTCATTTTGCATATATGCATTGAAAAAGCCGTGACATTAGAAGACTAACCTCAATAAACTGCATATCATTTAGATATTCTGAACAACCGAGTGATTTTTCATTATGATCCTCATCTGCAGGTTGGATACTGACTTCGCCGCATGACCCTACGTTTTCGTAATAGATTTAATCACATACCACCGACCGGCGTTCTCGAGAACTTCGCCGAAGCCAAAATGTTTAACTGTATATCTGTCATAATGACTTTCGTCCATTCAGTATGTAAATTCAACCATTTGTGGGTTCACGTTAGGACTTAAGGTACCTTGGTTCGGTGTGTAAGGTTATCTGTAAGGGAGAACAAGGAAACATATGACAAAATGACTCAGCAAGCAAAAAGATGTACTTATTTTTAATCAACGACTACCAGAAATAACACAAGCATGAAGTCAAGACTAACTGTTAGTCGGAACTGGAGTTGGGTAGCGTGAGGTTTGAACATGTTACTCATACACAATATCCAATATCTTTTTCACGCGCTGGTGTAAACCAATTTGATTTCTTCACACTCGATTCTTGTTCTTTCGGTACGGTTCCAGGTGTTCGGTAGTGTTCAGTGAATGGAGGTCTAGCCACTTAACTGTCTAATTCTAGTCAGTTGGTTGTGAGTTTGTATGTCTCGGGATTTGAATGGAAACGTTTGTTTCAGGGCAGTAGGGTTTCTGGATACCAGCAGCTAACACTATAATAGACCGGAGATCAGTTAGTTGCAATGTGGAGAGTAATAAGGATAAAATTATAATGCTAATATGAATAAAATTTCAGAACTAAGTAATATATAAGTGAATTTAGTTTATTAATTGGTAGTGAAGATTGTGAGAGAGGACCGAAGTGTAAGCAAGGGAGAGGAAGAAGAGATAATAGGTGAGATAGATTAAGTAAGTGATCTGAGGAGATGGCAATGATAACAACTAGCAGGTCTCAAGATATGCATCATGAACAGCTTGTCCAAGAGGGAAATGATAATCCGTATGTGAGTACGTGATTATCAAGTCTCTTCTTAAAGCTGTCCACTGAGGGGGCTGTGGTCGGCTGAGTTGGGAGAGCATTCCAAGTTACAGCGACTCTCAATGATAATGAGTGTGCATGAATCTGAGTATTCGCTCTTTGATGTGCAATCTTTCGATGACTGACTCGAAGGGAGTGGTGGTGATGCATCGGTAAGATGATCATGTTGGGATGGTTTGGCGTGCTTAATATGTTGTACGCCATAATCAGACCACCTCTGATTCTCCTCTAACTCAGTGAAAATAATCCCCGGAGCTGGAGTCTATCTTCGTAATGTTTATTTTTAAACCCTATCACCCATTTGGTTGCTCGTCACTGCATTCGATCCAAGAGATTTATGTCTCTTTTAAGCAGAGCGGGTGCGATGACGTTCTGAACCTCCAGTATCTTTTTCACGGGCTTGTATGAACCAATCGATTTCTTTGCGCTCGCTTCTTGTTGTTTCGGTAAGGTTTCATATATTTGGCAACGTCCAACTGATGGTTTTCTAACCACTCAACCGCACTGGTTTTAGTCAGTTGACAATTGTTTGTAAACTCGCATCTCCCGTGATTTGAGTACGTACATGTGCTACAGGGAAGTAGGGTTTCTGGATGCCAGCAGCTGTCACAATAACATGTCGGAGGACAGTTATTCTTAATGTGTAGAATAATAATGAGAAAATTCTAAGGCTAATGATAAGAGGAAAATTCCAGAACTTAAGACCGATTTCACATCGTTACTCGTTGTTTTATTTGTATCTATCACAATGCTGCATTTTTTAACATACCCCTACGAACATTTATCAGCCGTTACACCTTTCCAAACGTCTCATTTACACATTTATTATAATACAAGCCTGTACCAAGTGCTTTACAATCGTGCCTCTTTATAACAACTGTAAACTTAACATATAGTTAAATCAAAAGAATTCTTGCTATTAAATCATCCTGAACGCGCTCCTGAATTACTCCTTTTTCATTACTATCGCCTTTTTAAGAACTCTACTTTGCGTACACCCTATTTTAAACCCTTATTCTCAACAAAGGTGGCGTTCCTCTGCTAGTTTGGATACATAGTATTACTAATACATTGATAATGAAAAGATTTCAACTATAATATAGTAGTAAAGCTGTTTAGTGATGTTTATTGGTTGTTCTTCTTAGCTGCTTGTAAGCTAAGTGTTTCGAAGTATAGTTATTGATGTGAGCACAAATTCAGATGACTGTCATCGGTTTGTCGCTGTGAAACTGATGAGGGCAATATCAATTTTCAGAGGTATTCAAGTAATCGATTTTAACAAATTATTACCCTTAGTTTGAGCTTAATACCTTAAGGTAAAGCATATTTATTACTGTTCAGAAGTTCCAATACATCTCTTGGCAAAGACTCTAGACGTCCAGAAACTGCAGGAAACGTTTTATATAATCATCATTGAACACAACGTTCTCTACAACGTCTAAAGAATGCAATATCACGTGCCGCGATTTCGTCCATACCCTAAACATATTTATTACGGATCCTGAAACTTACAGAGGCCCAAGGTCATGTGCAATTCTATAAATACTTCAATTTTTCCGTGCACTAACCAATAATGAAGTAGAAAGTCATCTTCTCACTTCACACATTTTTCCTCGTGTTCAAGTCGCTATGAAGTCTACGTCTGGGTTTATTAGAAGTGGCTAGGAAATCGGATCTTGAATTCATTTATCAGGCGTATTAGTGACGAAGTGTACTTTGTTTACGGGTGGATGCTTGGCAATATTTTTTGATTTTCATCAGTGCGGAAGATATGTCCGCATTTAAATCTGAGTACTTGGTTATTTGTTGAGATTCGGGGTTCTGAATACATTGATACCAAATTTTGATGCTAAATATGATCTTTCAAGAGCACTCACAGCTACCGCTTTCGCGAAATTAGTTTCTAACCAGCCGATCTTTGAACCTGTGATGATTTACACTGACCACTAAATATTTTAATAATTTCCGAATTGATGAATGCGGCGATACTCAATCCAGATGTTATGGCTCAGTCATGCAGGAGTGCACACCTTTTTTAACCTCTAGCTCTTATTATTATGACAGCCTAAATCTGTCCCAAAGAAGTCCTGAAAAGCACATAGATGAACATCGCGATAGAATTAGTCGGTACAAAAAATTATATGACTTCTACGCCAAATTTCATTGGTTAAGCAGTCATATTATGGCGAGTCTATAACCTTGGATCAGGTTTAATATTGTAGTAGCATATGTAAGTCCGATTTCACTGGCTTAGACCTAAATTCCCTACCCTAACATAAGCAAATAATCAGTAAATATTCCTCTGAGCAAAATGTTGTCGCTTGTGCTCAATATCAAAAATTATATTGTTGCAGTGCACCGTAAGACATCGTTTAAGTTTGTTATCAGAGAAAGACTACACAAATTCAAACATCCGATACTCATAATTAGCAAACGAACTTAATAAAATTGATTTTGATCTAAGTAAATCTCTTATGTACTTGCTATCATGCTTGCTTTCCTTCTGATCACAGAATTTTGTGGTGAAGAAACACAAACACTGGCAGCAGCTTTTGGAAAAGAGGTTGCTGGGTTGAAATCAACACTTACTTAATAGCTTGTGGTAGAGTAGCAGCTCTTTTCTTTCCGTTGCTAAAGCTTCTTTCGACACACCATACACTGAGTTCTATACAAACAATCTACTAACACGTAAACTGATCTATTAATCAAAATGTTCCACCTCTTTAACATAGTCTTCTGCTGGACAAAATCGTATAACATGCAGCTGCGTTTCAGCGAGAGTGGGAAGAAGCGACGGAAACATTAACAAGTCTGTCTGTGCTGCTCACAGCAATCTTCGAATCAGTTATCCGAGCTTCTCAAACTCGTTGATAATTTTTGGTATGAGAATCATGCCCAGAACATCGAAATGTTTGGAACTAAGCGCAATGTCACTTTCCTGATTCCATGTTAGCACTTTAGATTCCAGACCAAATCACAAGGAACATGCACGACCCTCACCAATAAGCTTTTCTTGTCCTCATAGTATTAGAGATCTGAAATACTGAACATTAGGAAGCAACTGCGATATGCGGTTGTGATTTTTATGAAAATGTAACAGAAATAAGCCAAGAAAAACCTCAGTATTTAACTGGACAACAATTTATGTCTTACATTTTTCTACCTGTTTTGTGTTTGGCCTATCATCAGAAGCTTGTGTGCTTACATTCTTGTAGTTCTCAAACTTTGCAGATTTAACATTTATTATTTGACACTGATAAGGATTCACCTAAAGTATTGCATGTTATATCGAGTAATGCAGGTTGTTGGCAATAAAGTCTGGTGTTATCAATATCAAAGTAACAGTATGAAGCGGTTATTCATTGTTGACCGCTAGTTGCCTGCCGGAAACGGTCACTAGAATCTCTGCAGACAGATACTCCGTCCAACTTTGTGGTTACTACTACATCTGGCTCTCAGGTACCGAATATCTTACTCAGCAACTGTTCCTTTTGCTATTTGGCATGATATCTTGTGCTATCGACATTTTTGACCATACTGTCTGAGATGCTTCGCAACTTTGGTATTTTATATCTATATACATATCTACATTGAAGGAAAATTATGTTTTATGACATACTTTAATACGCACAACTAGAAAATGCCTAGTATCTTATACAGAAGAACGTAGTTTGTCCTAACTAAATGAATCTTTATTCATTATTTCTCTGCTTTCAGGCCAAGCACTGGGGTTTCGCTTGTGGCTGAAACCATAACTCTATCAAATTGTTTTAAAGGATGATATTTAGCATTTAAAGATGGTCATAAGAACTTGACAGACTGTAGCCAGATCAGCAGAAATGTTTCCAGGAAATGAGCTCCGTATTCGACTTTCTAATATCTAAAGCACAGACTGTAATTATGGAACAACAATTACTCAGTGAACATTGAGAATCAGTGAAATATACACCAAAAACCTCTACTGCTTGTTTTATTTTCTGTTTTAAATCTGTAAGGGTTTAAAAATGCGTCCTGTGCATGAATTGTGTCGTACATTTGTTTTTACCTAAGCGTTGATGGTTACAGTGACAGCAGTATGAAGATCCGCTGACACAAATACGTGCAGAGATAAGAGCCATGTTGGAGTTTGTGAGAAAGTTTAAAAAGCGCATGGTATAAGAGATGAGAAAAGATCCACATGCATGTGGGACGCGAAGTGCATGTGAAGAGCTGGCGGGTAAGGCTAAAGTTTTTTTGAAAATATATTGACAATAATCCGAAAACGGATGAGATGATGGGATCCGGCCAATTCTGGTATAAGTAAATTCGCTGATACTGGAACGAGATCGTTTAGCGAAAGATGAAGCTTCATCAGTATGTTCATTAAGATGTATCTTACCTACTTTTGTGAAAGACTTATCACTAACTGTAACGACTTTTGCCAGAAAGCAGCCCTAACGAACACACATTTGTCCG